ATTGATTGATTGATTGATTGATTGATTTCCAATAGAAAGTTAATTAATTGCGCGTTATCTGGTTTGCACATTTCATGCTTACATTCAGGCCTTGATTTAAATCTCGTTTATCCCAACTAACCGAAGTTTGAAAGTATCTGCTTCCTCTTTCTTGTAGCATCCACTCACTTCTCAAAATTCAGGAGTGTTACACTGAAAAAACACGGAATCTTACAAAATATCTTTGGCGTAGCTTCTAGTACAAATAGTTCACTTGAAATAACACAAAACTTAAAAGTAAACAAGATGTTTGAGCTTGTTTTAACTCAGTAATTCCTTAATATTGATGTAAAAGTACGAGTTCCACTGGCGCCGTTACCTAGCAACGCCAGTCAAGCCCAGTCCGTTACCTAGCAACCCAGTTTGAGTTCCACCAGATTATTTCACTTATGTGAAAAATGTCTTGTTATAAGTGAAACAATCTGCCAATGAAACTCGAATTTTATTTAATCATTATTAAGAAATTATTGACCTAAAACCAGCTGCTATATCTCACTGAAAAGTTGCTTCTAAGTTAGTTTTGTCATAATTCAAGTGTACTAAGATGTTTGCGCTGGAAACTAGACCAGAAATACTTAGTAAGATTTTGAGTTTTTGCAGTGCAGGAGCAATGTTTATAGAAGAGTAGGACAATTTCCCTCCTTTGTGGAAGACTCAACAGAAAAAACCTGAATTCATTTCAATGATGCAAAACATTTTCTCATTTTCTCTCACATACTTATGGAGGAAATGCGACTTACTATTTAAGAAAAATGAAAATATTGCATCTCCATTTCCTGAAGGTAGCTAAATCATTTCAGAAGGGAGAAAACACCATATCTGACCAGTGGTTCTGCCTTATTTGGACAATTTCCAAATCTAATATCGATGAATCTTGTTCTGCTCAATAAAGGTTGGGCAATGAAACCTTTTTATTTTACAGTCTGGACACAGAACAAGCCTGACTAACTGCTGTTTGTGTTTCAGACCCGGTTACTCTGACAGACCTGATTGTCATCCTGATTAACATCATGTATCGACACCCCCGACCTTCGAACGGCGACTCGTCACCGACAGGTGTGTCACATGTGTTCCCACATGTTGGTTTGTCCATGAGTCACAGATCCTCCCTCGAGACAGAAAACCACTCCTCAGAACAAAGATTTTATCAGCTAACCTTGTCCTGACTCAATTATTTCTGTAATTGTTCTCTGGGGTGTTTATATAATGTAAACTCAGGAATTTCACATCTGCAATTTTGCTGACTATATTCGATAATGTTCTCCCCGTTGATTATCATTCCCTCCGGCTGCTGCAGATAGTCATGCTGAGCAAGTCTTTTGCTTCATCTGTGGTATCGAAAGACAACGAGTACACTGCAAAACCACAAACTCTCACCAAGTAATTCTGGTCAGGTGTTTAGTGCATCTTAGTGGACTTTTTAAGTCAGCAATTCCCCAATATTAGTAAAAAAAGTACTAGTTCCACTGGTAGATTATTTCTATTATAACAAGACATTTTTCCAAGTTATAAGTGAAAATGTCTTGTGTTTTCAAGCTCAAGATTTCCAAATGTCAAAAATTTTCCACTTTTGAGACCTGTTTTTCTAGAGAATTTCAGATTAATCTCAAAATTTAAATTTTTTTTTCCAAATTTAAAACTTTTGAAACTCCTCAAATGTCTCTTTTGTTTTGTTTTGTTTTTCTCTCTCTCTCATTTTTTATTTTTTTTAGAAAATTTCTGATACTAATCTAAAAATTTCTGAGTTTTATCTTTTTGATTGATATTCTTTACTCTTCAAACTCAGAAATTTCCATGTTTCTGAGGTTAATCAAAACATCTCTTGAGTTTTTTGTATTTGGGAAAGTCTCAACTTTTCAAACTCAGAAATTTCTAGAAAATTTCATAAACTAGTCTTGAAATTAAAATTTTTTCTTGCAAATGTATGACTTTTGAAACTCCTGAATTCTTTTTCGAGAACATTTCTGAGATAAATCTAAAAATTTCGGAGTTTTTTTTTTTTTTTTTTTTTGGAAAATCTCAACTTTTCAAACTGAGAAATTTCCTTGTTTTTGAAATTATTCTCCAGATGTAAGTTTTTTTTTCTTTGGTGGGAATGTACCAAAGACCAAACCACCTCATCCTAGCACAAAAACCTTTAATCAGGAGACATATTTTGGATTTATTTTCATAATCTCTACAGTTGCATGGTTAACAGAAATGCTGCTGCTGCTGTTTCGCAGCATACCATGTGGACGTTATGTAACGTGTTTGTGTTTTTTCAGGCTCGCTGTCGCCCAGCTGTCTGGTGATGGAGGTGCTGTGGATGTTATGTGAACGAACAGAATGTGCTGCTGATTGTCTCCACCAGACTCCTGTTATTGAGACTCTGCTCGCACCTGTTGTTGCTCTCCTCAATGCACAACAGGTCCATCTCTCCAACACACACTAACACACACTTTATGAGCAGATAGAAATCATAAACTGGGGGCCCAAGTCCAGCCCTGCAACTTTTACTTACATTCCTGCCCCAGAACTCCTCAGTTCCCTCATCCAGATTCAGACATTCAGCTCTGCAGAAGCCCAGTAACGACCCATTAATTTGATTCAGGTGTGCTGGACAAGAGATTAATCTGAAACTATAGTAGCTCTCCAGGACTAGACTTGAGCAGCGCCGTCATAAAACTAAATTATAGCTCATAAAGTCAGAGTCACGGTATAATGTTTCTGTGTCGAGACGTAAGAAATCATGCCTTTTTTTTTTCTTTTTTTTTTACAGTTTTACATAAAGAGGTGCATGGGACGTTGGGTATTTGATGAAAACCTAATGGAAAAGCAGCAGGGCTGTGGGGGAAATCAGGTGTACCGTATAATTTAACAGCAGATTAAACCACATTTTTCATCAATATCTTAAATTCATACAGTCTCTCACATATTGCAGAGAAACTTCAGTTTATAACGTTGGTTCAGTCTCCAGTTAGATCTGCTGGTATTTATTGATCAACAGTCCAAACTGCATCTATAAAGTTAATTATTCAATGATGTTAATATTCTGATCGATCCTAAATATCAATATTATCAATTCCAAGTTAGTATCTCAATTTTTTTGTTTTGTTTTGGACTTTATTTATTCAGGAAAAAATGCACACAGATTTGCTTTGTTTTTTTAATATTTTTTTCTATCATATTGTTTTGTGTCTATTCCAGGTTATAACCAAATAATTAAAAAATACTCAAAAACACAGACGTTTAATGATATATCAAACTTAAATAATAAGTGTCGGTATCTACGATACTGGCCCCTGTATTTACTTGGAATCGGGTCGAAACCAAACTATGTAGTATTGCACACATTTAGTATTACGTTAGCAAATGCTTTGTCAAAGTTTCATATGTAAAACTTTAATATATCTGACTTAAACTGCTGCGTTAATTAAGAAATCAGGAAAAATCATTTAAGTAAAATAATCACAAACTTTGTTTCATCAGCACCACTTTTTTTCTGAAAGCTCCTGGATAAATTAGTTAATTTGTGTTCATATCTGTTTTTTTCAGACTAACTTGAAGAATCCTGCAGCCACTCTGATTCTCATCGCCGACGTTTTGGCCCGAATCGCAAACACCGACAGAGGATTAGCGCTTTTCCTGTACGAGAAGAACCTTGTTGTTGCCCACAGTGAAAAGTAAGACGCTGATTAAATATCAAGATTAAAAAACCTACTTTGTGTGTTATTATTTGACCCTATAAGGTGCTTTATGAATGCAACAAATTTGTCCCACCAGCGTCGGTGGTTGATGCAGATGGAGACTTTTTTAAAAATTAGGACAAAACTATAATGTCAGATACAAAACAATGTGTTCATCTGTTAATAACCAAGCTTTCTGCTTTGCTTTGATTTCATGATAAATAAGACCACGTCTACCTGCCACCACGTTGTGTAGATAGAATAAAAGGAGTAAACCTTGAGTTTAATCTGGTTTTTGAGAAAAAAAACTTGAAACTTTCTGAGTTTCAGAAGTTGAACATTTTTGACGTTTCAAACTCAGAAATTTCCTTGTTTTTTCTAGAAAATCTAGAAATTTCTGAGTTTCTTGGCAGAAATTCCCTTTAATTTGTTTTATACTTACAACAGTAGTGGTCAATAGTTAACATCTTCTTCAGTTTAACCCAAAATACATGATTAAAGTGGTTACTGTACTATCAATAAGGAAAATTTGCAAACCCCTGTTGATGTTTTGGGTCTATAATGATTAGATATTCCTGTCCTACAACAAATCTGAACATTTTATTTGTTGGACTGAAATATTTCATGCTTATTTTATTGTTGAGCAGAAAAAATATCTAAACATTCATGTTCCAAGAAGTTTGGACACCCCTGGATTATTCTGCCCAATCACAGCTGTTTGCTGTATTTTAGCAACAGAACATTTTAATGACGCAACTTAAATGTGTTTTTGTTGCCTGTAAGCAGAAAGTCATCATAATTAATAGAAATAAAAGCTTAAAAACACCAACATGTGTGTAATTAATCTGAAATAGATGAAGCAATTAATTTATTGCAGCTTCTGCCTGCACCAACCCTGCATGCTGTGCACACAGATATTGGTCTTTAGTCTCTTACTAGGTGTTTTCTGTTTCCTGTGCAGAACCTTCGCTGCTCACATCGTCGTCCAGTTCACCTTGAGGCTGCTGAATAAGGCCCTGCCGTCTCTAAGCGGATCCGATGCGTCTCAGACGTTATGTGGAGCTTTCATCTTTGTTTGTAGACAGATGTACAACACCTGTGAGGGTCTGCAGGTCCTGCAAACATATGGCCTGCACAAAGCCATCGCTGCTGCTTGGAAAAAGGTACAACATCCTATGGTTCGTCTTCCATTTCCGTCCCGCAAACAACTAAATTAGTGGTGTTTTCATAAAAAATATTCATTTATAGGTGACATATTATGCTTCATTGAACAGGTTGGGATTGGTTTATGGGTGATACAAAACATGTTACATTTTTTACACAAAATCCTTAGATTGTGAGTTTTCTTTTCAGAATGAGCTGTTTTAGGGCCTCCGTCACTTTAAATCCATATAAGCTGCTGCTGGCCACGCACCCTAACTCGACGTTTACAGTCACATGTGAAAATGGCTTCAAATAGATGTGCAATTATATAAGTGTATGTCTTTGAAAAACAGAAGTAGCACCTCCTGCACAACCAACGAGAATGCAGCAAGTTGTTTCTGGATGTTAAGTCAACAACAAAATACTTTGCATGGTGCATAGAGTGATTAAACCCAGCTGACAAAATGCTCTGGAACTCAGTTCTGGTTGCTAGGTGACGGGCGGAACTCCACTGGGGTTGCTAGGTAACGGGTTGAGCTTTGCTGGGGTCACTAGGTGAGGGGTCAGTTCCCACTGATTTGTGACGTTACAATCAGGACGATTTTTGAAAACGTTTATTTTTCAGACACCAGAAAAACTGTTTGTTTTATTTTTTCAAGTGGTCTGTTTGTTTTCAGAAGCAGTTGAGACACAAATTGAAAAACCAAAACATGCACAATGTGAATGTGTGTGTAATAGTTTCCCTTCATTTTTATCTAGCAGGACTTAATTACACTTAACCCTCAAACTCTTCTGTTTGTTTTATAAGCTTTTACTGCTGGTTTTATTTATGTGAATTTAATATGTTAATATGAAACTTTCTTCTTAAAGCACCAAACTGAAAGTTCAAGACAGAGCTGCAGTGGTTCGAATGATACGAGGATCTTGATTTTTCAGATTTAAATTTTAATTCTGTGTCTGTAAATACAGATGCTGCATGTGTTGCATTAGCTTTTGCATGTGTGGGTTTTGGAATAAATCCCAATCATAACAACAAAGCTGCTTTTAGACATTTGTTTAAATACTGGATTATATTTAAATTGCAGGTAAGCTTAAGCTTTAAAACATGCAGAGACTGTAAGCTGAGAAACAAATGAAAGATGGAATAACTTCAGCTAAGCAGCAAAATCAACAGCAACCACATATTATACGCTCCTTTGCAGCCGACTTCTTTTTAACTCAAAACATTTGTCAAAAGTTAACTTGTATTTAATAGTTAAATCTGTGGACTTCATTGTTTCCCTTTACTTCCTCCTGATTTTATTGAATTTGTATTAAATATTAATAATTCAGCTGCAGAGTCAAGCACCAGCCAGAATGTACTCGGATCTGTTCTCAATATTTTATTAAAGGAAAGGAAAGTACTAATGAGTTCTTATTCTTTGGTTTAAATAAAATAAAGCACTGGTTGTGTAGACTTTCATTTAGATTGAATACATTATTTTTTTTAGATTATAAGTGTGTTCTGCCTGTTTTTAGTATTTTCCTGTTGCAAAACTGCAATAACTTGTTTCATCAGCAGGTTATTGTTGGAAATAATTCAGGGATTTTAATAAGCTGAACAAACCAGCAGCACACTGATCGCATCCGACTCCCTGGATTCATTAATTTACATAAATAGTGGCTCAAACTGAATTCCCTTCACACAACAGGAAAAAACGACACAAATTAGCTTATTTTGCCTATAAAAATTGCCCGTTTCCGATCTTCTCCCACTCCCTCATGCCGTACGTATCTAATTGTTTTCAAAGCAGTCAGAACGGTCATGTTGCATTTTATCCAATTTTTACATCAATGATGAAATTTTGGATTAAGTTTTTATTGTGGATAAAAACTTAATCCACATTTTTCACTTCCGATACCGATCAGATGCAGAAAAACAGCTGAATTTACTTAAAAGGTTTCTTTAAACACAGACATGAATATACTGAATTACTAATTTATTTGATGACTCTGCACAAATGCAGCACATTTAAATATAGAAGTAACTTTACAGGTTTGGTCAAACATATAAAAACAAGTTTAATTTGTTCAGTCAGCTCAATTTAAAGAAATGATAAAAACAAAAACAGTAGGCTGACTTTCTTATCAAACATGTAAAAATAAACTGCAGCTATTCTTTCAAATGGTTCAGAAAGTGAGATTAGATTCTACATATAATGTTAAATAAATAATAGAGCATAGAATTAGACTGTATAGATGGGTCAGGAACATCATCACCAAGATTTTGATTCCACTGATATTAATATTTTATTGATGCATCTCATCACAATCCCACCACTTTCCGTTCTGACTGAACATCCAGATTCCTCTGCAGAAATTCCTTCGTCTTGCTGATTTTGTGACGATAATATCGACTCTCATTGATAAATAAATTTTAAAATAGAGCGCTGGATGTTGCACAACATCAAGCCTGGAGGGCTGAAGTTCATAAAAAACGTTTATAAAACAACCATCCAAATTATTGCAGAGCTGTGAGGAAACCTTCACGATTCTCTGCCGTATTTAGTTGTTTTCAGATGGATAAATAATTTTTTTATGATATGATGACGTAAGTGATTTCTTCTGGTCTGAATTTTTCACTTGTTTTTGTTTTAAAGACGAGTTCTTTATCAGAAAGGATCCCGACTCCGGTTTCTGGATCCTGCACCGGACCATCCACCCAGGAAACGGCAAACATGTGAGATCACATGTTTGCACACACACACACACACACACACACACACACACACACACACACACACACACACACACGATTTCAATCAAGAAATAACAGTAAAACAGGTTACCGGTGCTACAATGCTTCACTCATTATTTAATATTCACTTGACTAATCATAGCAAATAATTTAATAGTAGTTTGATCATAAACTTTGCTGCCTTTAACAATTGTTCTCATGTCTAATAAAACATAAAAAAATCATGTAACTTCTGTTGTTAATTATTAACCAATAATTAATAACTGCTGGACTCAAAAACCCAAGAAAACGGCGGCTAATAATGGACGTTTAAATTAATTACTATGGAAAACTGTTGATATATGTGGCCCAAAAGTATTAATAATTGACAAAAGATCGTAAAAACAAGCTTAACGTTCCAGTTGATCTCCTCCCATAGTTTATTCTGCCGTATTGAACTCAATGACACAATGTTTTAAAATATTTCTATTAGAGCCAATCTGATATTTTCTCATTAAAAATTTGATGCTACTCTGGATAATTGTTATTTTAACTAATTGGTGATACTTCTGTATTCAGCTGTTTTTACTTTGCTCTGAAACAGCTTAAAGTGTCAAAAGATAAAATGTTTTTTGCCTTATTATAAGAATCGCTCAATAAATATGTATTAAACCAGTTTTAAAGATGCGTTTTAGATTATCTTGAACAGCCTAAATGTGGACATTTCTCAGTACTAAAGGTGTAAATTGAGAATATATCCGTGTTTTGTTGGTGTTGTTTTAGCCTGAGGTTTCTTTTTGCTGTTTTTTTGTGGATGTGGAACAGGCTCGTCTGGGAGGAAACGATGTTGGGCAGTCTGCTGAACTTTGCTGCGACCCCTAGAGGCCTTTTGCTGCTACAGCAGACAGGCGCCATCAACGAATGCGTCTCCTACATGTTCTCTCGCTTCACCAAAAAACTGCAGGTAAACAGTGAATTAATAAAGTCTGAACCTTTTTTTACATTTCTGTCATAACCTGATCTGATGCATATTTCAGCATCAAAGTGCTTTACATGAAAAAAACACATGAAAACATTCCCCAATCAATTAAATTATATTTTTTTCTATATTTTATATCTGCTTTAGACACTAGACTATAGAGCTGAAACGATTAATCGTGATTAATCGATTATTTGAAATAGCAATCAATTAATTGTTAATTGGAGTATACACTCAACAAATGTCATCTTGCTGAAAAACCACGATATTCAGAGCAGTAATTAAGCCAAAACTGTGAAATAAATATATATATTTGCATTTAAGATTAAAAAGATGCCTTAAATTCCTAAAGTGGTAAAGTTTTAGATTCACTTGGTTCAAATTTTGTAAATGAGAATCTCCCACTAAGTACCGTTTTCTATCAGTCAATGGATCAGCTGTATTGATTTTGAAGTTTGAAGCGTTGTGTTTTGTCTACAAATGATCAAGTGTTTACTAAAGAAATGCTTTGTTGTTGCATTTTAGGCAATAAAATAATTATTTTCTTAATTTAAGAAGCACTTATGTAGATAAATGAAAAATCTGCAAATTTTCTTCTTTCTTTTTTTATGTGATTAATCCATTCCCACACATTCTTGTGTTTCAGACCGTACTTCACTTGGAGAACGTTTTGAGTTTAACTGGTGTCCCACAGGGCTCTGTTCTTAGTCCTCTGCTATTTTATCTGTATTTCCTGCTGTTTGGCTCCATTTTCAGAAAGCAAAATATTGCTTTTCATTGTTATGCAGATGATACTCAGATTTAGGTTTCCCTAAAACGGGAAAATGACGACTATATCCAAGGTTTAGATGAATGTCTTGACGAATTAAAAGCTTAGACGGCCTTTAGCTTTTTAAACATCGATGAAAATAAGACCGAAATGCTGATTTTTAGTCGTCGTTTTACTCTCAGATTACAGAAATGTTGTTGCAAACTTTGCTTTTAAAAGTGTTTTAGATTAGTTGGCAGTTCAGTCTTTCAAATTTTCTGTTGACATTTTTGCCAACACATATCTGTACAAAATCTGCATTAAATTTCCATTTCTACTCATGGCCAGAAGACTGAAATAGTAGGCTAACGATATCTTAAATCCTTCTATGTTTTTGTGTGATAATTCTACTCATAATGTGATTTCTGTAAGTTATGATGAATTGGACCAGTGGTTAACTGGTGAAAAAATCCATCAAAATTGCAGATGAAGTTTATTAGTAGATGTAACTCAGGAACTTTGACCTTCCTTCCCAACATCCGTTTGTGTTGTTTGATTTTTACAGTCTTGTAATTTCAGCGTCCTTGTAAAAAATTAAACGTGGGATGGGTGTGAACAGCTATTTTTGAACATTTGACTCATGATGATTCATTATTGACCCGGAATAAAAGTTTTATTCAGTTCCTCCCTTCATACATAAGCCAGGTATATTATCCTGCCTTCACTTGAACCACCGTCGGGTTTTCAGCGATAAGAATTGGTATCAATATACAGTAATTATGTCTCTGTTCTTGAACTTATTAACTTTGTGGAGGCTTAATTTCATCCTCATCTGAGATGAATGGAACTGAAACTGGGTGTCATTTACTTCAACCACAAACTTAAGTACGTTTAATTTGGATTTTATGTGATAAAGCAACACAAAGTTGCACATGTGCTACGTAGAACTATATAATGTATGTAGTTTTTATAAATAGAAATACAAAAAGTAGTGATGGGCATTAATTACAGGTCAAAGTTTATGGGATGTATGTTTTGAGTATTAGAAAACTTCTTAGGAACGACAAAATAAATCAGGCTAGGAGGGATTTTCACCTTCAACTGTGACAGTAAATGTCAAAGATAAAAACTTTTTTTTTGTAAACTCCAGACTTTTATCTGAGAATCTGAATGAATTAATCAGGATATTTTTTTTTTAGTTTTTAGACTGGTGTATTCTGTACACACTTAAAAATACTTTCTTCAGGGTTTTAAAGTTCAACATGTTGGTCTAAATATGTTGCAGTTTTCCAGTTAACATAAAATTTGCTGTTTGTCATATGTAATTACTTTATTATAGTTTGCACCTTTAGCAGTAGCTAGCACAAAATCAAAACAAATCGGAAGATAATAGATGTTTAATGAACGAATGAAGCATCTTTAAGTCTTTGCAAATCACCTTTCTAATATATTTTTGAGGAAATTTAATGCTTAACATAAACAGTTTGAGACTGAAACTGGGGCTATTTGCAGGATGTATTCTTCTTTTTAGTAGCATTTCCAAGCAGCAGCAACATAAACAGCTGATTTTTTGGTCTACTATCTCCTCATCTCCATTTTCCTGTTGTCATTTCTGCATTGACTTCTTTTTCAATGCAGTTTAGTTCAAATTTAAACAGCTGAACGTTACTTATTGCATAAAAATTACTGTTCTGGCTGGATGGAGCTAGCTGGCTAGCTAGCGTTAACTAGCATATTTATTTAAATTTATGAAAACCAAACAGCCTACTGCGGTGCTTTTATATTTGAAATAAATGTTTCTCAGATAAAGTTTATTGTTACAACTAATGGTGAATACCTTTAAAACAGGAAAGCCCATTGTGGTTAAATGCATGCCACACTTTTCAGATGTGAAGTTGTAAAATCCATTGAAACTCTCATAAATTAAATACTTCAAACTTTTACAAATCCCTGTAAATGAAAGGTTTAGTCCTAATCAAAGAAGAAAAAACAGATTTTAATTGTATCTTTCAGTAATTAAGCAGTACCAACATGCAGAACCTGCCCTGTTCCTCCTGCTTCATCTTTAAAACATTTGCTCCTGAACTGCTTCTCACGTCTTTATTTTTCCTGGAGAATGCATTTGTTTTGTTGATCCTCCTCCTCCTGAAGGACGCAGCGTTGTTTACTAAAGTCTGTTTATCCGTTTAGTATTCAGCTGGTGCTCGGATACTGAAGCAGGATTTGTAAGATTTATATTGTGGACACGCATATGCCCAGTCCTACATGCAGATCTCAGCCAACTCCCTTTGGACCCAATTTACTGACATTCTCTGCACGGTTTTGTAATTACTGTTTCTGTTGGACATTGCACTTTAATTACAGCACATGATTCTATTTTACTTTATTTTATTTTGGCTATTTTTTAAAAATTATGCTGAAATTAATTAAATTCCTTGAATGTGTGTTTCTTTCTGCTCCTTTAGCTGGTTGTTTCTAATGCACACAACTGTGCAGGTGACCAGTTTTGCATCTTCTTTCTGGTGTTTTTGCTGAAGGTGAGTCGCTGTGAGAAGTTTGGGTACGGAGTGATGGTGACACAGATAGCGGCGACGGCTCCAGGGGTTGCAGCTCTGCACAACTCGGGTAACAAAGTGCTCATTTGTACAAACAAACACTTGCCGGCTGGGATGCTTGAGACTTGAATTGGAAATTTCTGTGCAGCTGCTGTGAAGAATTTTTATAGTTTGTCTCAGGGTTTGTTCACTGTCAAATCTGGGTACATTTTGGTATAAAAAGAGGAAATATTGTCATTGAGAAGATCACTTAGTTTATACAACTTAAAATTTCAGTGAGTTTTAAAAGCAAGAACTGAATTTATTTAGAATAGACTCAAACTTAGGTGGTTTATGGATTCATTTAAATCTTTTGATAAGTGATGCTAAAACTTTAAAACTGTCTCAACTTAACAAGATTAAGTTGGATTGTCTGGCCGGCGAGTCGCCGCTGCTCCAGAATCGATGCTGTCGACTCAAAACTGCTCAAATTAATGAGCCAAATCTGTTCTGGAGTAAAAATTTATAGTTTTAGATGAAGATTGAAATATTTGACCACAATAAAAAGAAAATATGAAGTGAAATTAAGTCTTTCAAACTGCAGAAACACAAAATATTACCAAGTATTTATGGTTTAGTTTCCAGTGGAAATATATTTATACACTTAAAATAAGACAAAACTAACTTACAAGTAAGTTTTCAGCAAACAATAATGTCTTAATATTGGTGAACAAAACATTTTCCCCATTTTCTAAGTGAAATTATTGACTTAAGCTCCTGTATTTAGCTGAAAAGTTTGTTAATTTTGTCTCATTTCAAATTTACTAAAATATTTGCACTAAACTACTTGGTGAGATTTTGTTTTCTTAGAAACTGGAAAATCAACTAAAAATTATTTTAATATTTTTCAAAGCTACAAACAGGATTTGAATGATGTGCAACTTGATAATGAATATTTATTAAAACACAAGGAGTTTTTTTTTATATATTTTGCTTTTTCTATAGATTACAGAACGTTACCTACAAAATCAATCTTATGAGCCTAATTTCCAATAAAAATAAATATCTTAAACTGAAGGTGTTTCAGCTAAAAATGTTTAAAATTATTTGGCAGCTTTTCTCTGCTGTGTTCTTCTAATCCAGTTTACATCTTTAAATGGTGCTACCTTAGGTTTTCACTAAAAGTTTCACTGACAGTTGAATTTCTGCGTTGGTAAAAATGTGATTTCTTTTTACCTCCAGGTTTTGTCAGATTGCTGGTTGTGGATCTGTGGTCGGCTCTCGAATGTGGAGGTGACGATGCCAGAGTCATCCGGCCCAAACCGACACCCATGGACTCCATAGACAGAAGCTGCCTCAAGGTAAACGCATGGACAGAGCCGGCCCAAGGCATACGCAAGTTGAGCGGCTGCTTATGGCCGCCGCAACAGCTGTGTTTTTTTATTACAAATGTTTATTTTTATATAATATGATCATGTGAATCTCATTTTGTTTATTTAGTAGTAATAGAAGCATTTTACATAAATTTAAATTAATTATTACTGTATTTTAATATCACTCTGCTTTTCAAAATGCTAAATAATTGGAGCATTTCTAAGCTACCTACAAATAATAGCTATGTTACACACAGTAGTGAAACATCTGTGGACATGTTGCTATGAGCTGGGGGGGATTAAAGTCTGGTCAGGGCCCCAAAATGGCTTTGGCCGGCCCTGCATAAAAGGAGAAATTTAAGTCACATTTAAAGGTCGTGTCGTCTTTCAAACTGTTTCTTTACACCAGTGGTTCCCAAACTTTTTCTTCTGTATTGATATTAGCTAGTCATCTTTTAGCTAACATTACCTGCATCTAACAACTTTACTCAACTCAGTCGGTTAGTTTGGAGGGAAAAACTGTGAAAAGTTCTTTGCGTTTTGCTGGTTTGCTGCCGTGATTCTAACACAAACCTACGTAGCTCCGCCCAGCAGCAGCAGGTCTCCTTCACAGGTGGAAACCCAGCCAGAGCGTCGTAGCGCTCATGTTGCGTTTAAAGGCGGCTCGGAAAAACAGGTTACAACATGTTAACGGATTAAACAGTTTTAACTGCTGATAAAAGTGACACAGATATGGGAAGTGTGGAAGCCTCTACTGTATCAAACTGACATAGGAATAACAGAGAGTTGGCCATTCTAAAAACCCAGCGCATACAGTGTTCATGTTTTGTTTTTTTTTCATCCAGACGGCTTCCCGCGCCCCCCCTGCAATGACACGGCGCCCCCCTTAGGGGGCGCGCCCCACAGTTTGGGAACCTCTGCTTTACACAATATATTTCCAGAAGTTTCTACATTTTTATTTGTTTTTTAATCTTGACAATCTGAGAACTATTCAAGCTCATATTTTGTTCATCTGATCGACTTACAACCTACAACAAAAATCCGTGTAGGACGGCGAAGTCCTAGCACAAAAATTCGCATGACAGGTGGACGGAGCCTGGTGCTGTAAGGTTAGGCACCTGTTAGGCGACGGGGCCTGGATAATACCTGAGTTAAACGGACGGCAGAGTCCAGCGACAACAGGAGCTTAAATTCTGTAACAAAAGTATGTTTTATCTTTTTTAATCTTTTTTTTTTCTCTCTCTTTCTTACTGTTTATTCAATGTCACACGCTGTTTTTATTTTTTCTTTAATTATGTAAAGCACCTTGAAATGCCTTGCTGCTGAAATGTGCTATACAAATAAAATTTGATCGATTGATTGATTGACTTCCCTACTTTAAAGTTTGAGTCAACTATGAAGAAATAAAGCTACGTATGGCAGCATCTCTGTGATGCATTTCAGAATAAGTTGTGTTAAACTGGGGATGAATGACATCAACATCGGTGTCGATGTTTGAAGGCCCCATACGTGAAAAATCTCATTTATGTGTGACAGAAATAATACTGCAGTGCAGGATTGTGGTTTGTTTAACTGAAGCAGAGAAAAAAAATTTTTTTTCAGTGTTGAAAGGGTTGGAAAATATATATAATATCAATAAATATTGATCATCAATATATGTACTGGTCAATGTAGGTATATCGGTTTGGTTGTTTGTTAGTTTGTTCTTTTTTTTAGTTGGACTTCAAGTCTCAAATTAAAAAAAAAGTTTCAGTAACTTTAACAAATACCGATATCAATGGATTAAAATTACTGCAGCTGCTTAGTAACACACTAGTAGTTCATTGTATTTATTTAAAATAAAACAATAATAAAAACTAACTGCAAAGTAACCTTGGATTGTTCCAAACTAAAAGAAAATGTATCTGCTTGCAAATTTGCTCTTAATTTTAGTGACATTTGTTGGAGACATGGTGACATCTAGTGGCAAATTCATGAACTGCAAACAACTGATTTTATTTTGCTGTTTCAAGAATGTTTTACAAACCATGGTGGAGAAATGTGGAATAATTCAAATTACATTGCTTCCTCCATAAATTAACTCATAAATACTTTAATAATCCCGAAAGGTAAATTTAAATATTAAAGTTTTTTTTTTCTGCGTTGTGGCCAGAGTTGGATAGCAACCAGTTACATTTACTTTTTTTGGGGAAAAAATTACTTTATTACACTGTATTTGTTACTTTTACGTCAGTAACTTTACTATTAAGTATCACAACTCTTGAGTAATTCCTGGATACTTTATCCACTGAGAGTAACTTAAATAAATGAAGATCAAATTTGTTTAAAGTAAAACAAACCTCCAGTTTTTGTTAGTTTTAAATAGAAAGAAACTGATTCTGAAAACTTTATTTTGCCTGATTGCATCATGTGCTTATGCTATTTTTATTATTTTCAATTAGATATCTAAAGTAACAACATTGTCACAGCTTCTTTCTTTAAAATAATAAATTATTAATGTTTTGATCACTCAGTAAATGACATGGTCTTCTGTTAATTTATTAGTACACTTGAAATAAAACAAAAGTAACTTTCAGGTAGCTCTTCAACTAGTTATAGAAACTTGTTTTAAGTAAATAATTCCTTAGTATTGATTAAAAAGAGTATTGGTCCAACTGGAGGATTATTTCAGTTAACTCAATACGTTTTCCCATGTTATAAGTAAAATAATCCTCCAATTAAACAATTAGTTTTTCATCAGTATTAAAGAATGAATGACTTAAAAGAAGTTCTTATATCTTGTTGAAAAGTTTCTTACGTTAAAATACAGCAAAACTGATATTTGCAGTAGAAATTAGATTAAAAGAATTGGTGAGATTTTGTTTTTGCAGTGTAAGAAACCCTTTACCACTGTTTTATTCCAGAAGTTTAAATGTAGATAACTCCAACCACCAACTTTTTTGGACTCAATTGTCCTCACCAGAATCCACAGGAAACAAAAAATAAAACAAGTTTCACAGCAGAATATTATCTTAAATAATCTGTTAATTTATGGTAATAAAAACATATTTAGCTTATGATTCATCCTGTATGTTTTCTTTTTTTTTCATTTGAATAATTTTTTTTATTTATGAAAACCTAATATACTTAGATAATAATGTCAACATTAACTAAAACACATTTCTTTACATAAAGCTCCTGTCAATCGTTTGCAAGCGAGAATGATTAAAAAAACATGGAAAAATTGAGGGAAATCCACAATAAATTCAAATTTGTGCCTTTTTTTAAATTTATTTTTTATTAAAATCACTGCAGCTGCATGTGATCGGACATCAGTGACGATTCCCCTGATCAATAAGGGCAGATCTATTGAGTCTGACTCTACACTTTGAGCTGCGTCCTGTTTTATTGCTTATTTTACATTATATTTAGAATTTGTTGCCCTTTCTGAACCATTTTAAAGGTTTGTTGCACTTTATTTTTTATATGTCTGTTTACATGTTTCTTCATTATTTACTTTAAATTGGCTGTTATAATTCTAATTGCACTGACTGAGCGAATTAAAGTTGTTTTCACATGTTTGACCAAGATTGTGACGCTGTTGGTGTATTTAAATGTGCTGTACTGGTGCAGAGTTATCAAATAAATGTCTGTTTGTTTTTAAAGTCAATTCAGCATTGTTTTTCTGTTTCGGCTGATGCTAAGCCTCAGATATCGGTGTAAGAAGTGAAAAAGTGAATCTGTGCATTCCTAATTCAAACCTTCAAGACAATTGTTCCACCATGAAGTCTTTAAAAATTGACATCCTTAATAAAAATGATCAGTTTTACATTTTTAAATAACTTCTAATTGTTCTTGTAAGTGAGATTCAGAATTAGCTGAAGCGTTTTTGCTTAAATTCATGCAATAAACCTCAGATTTTAGTATCGGAAGTGAGAAACGTGCATTTCTAAGTTTAAAGTTTTGATTTTTCACCAGCTTGTTGTTTCTGTGTCCCCAGTCCTTCCTGTCCCTGGTCAACCTCCTGTCCTCCTCTCTCTCCGTTTGGGAGCTTCTCAGCCGACAGCCATTAGCGAACAAGAGCGAATACAGCCTGAGAGAAATCCCATCCTCCATCCCTGTGAGCAGTTCTCTTCCCAGCCAGCAGAGGGCGTCTTTGCGCTTCGATTCATCCTTCCACTCACACCCACACGAACCTGTGGGAGTGAGTGGAAAGCACAAAGGCCTTCCATTAAACCCCAGTAGCTTTTTCAAACCTTGCTCTGATTTTGTTTTGCTCCTCATTTCAGGATTTGATTGACAGGCTGGTTGCCGTGGATTCGGATGTGAAGATCCACTCGCTGTTCCAGTACGAGCAGTCGCACACCTTCGGCCTGAGGTGAGACGAGTGTTTTTCCATACAGCTTGACATCGGAGGGGGGAAGCGCATGATATGGGATTAGCACACAGTCACTCCCCTCAGTCTGCGGCATTAGCAGCTTCAACTTTGATTACCGGCTTTGGGAGGTTGATGAAAGGATTTTCCTGGATAAGATCGAAATAAGCCCGGCTCTGTGGGTATTTATGAGTAACTGGCTGCTTCAGTGAGACCGCTGGTTAAAACGAAAGAAAATACACTTAAAATGAATAAATTAATAAGTAGTTTCTAGCACTTCTCATCAGGCGTGTTCAGAAAATGTAATTTTTAATAAAATCACCAAAATACATTGGTGATTAAAAAAAAAGTTTTATCTCTGATTTGTATCACAGCACATTGGGGCTACTGTAGATGAAAAAAACTCAAACATTTTTAGATTATTCTCAGAGATTTTCTAGAAAAAACTCAGAAAACTTCCAAAAGTCAAAAAGTTTCCACTTTTGAAGCTCAGAAATTTCTTTTTTTTTTTCCTAGAAAATTTCTGAGATTATTTTCAAAATCTCAGAATTTTTTCTCAAATTTTGGCTTTTCAAGCTCAGACATTTCCAACTTTATTTTTTTTTTCTGGCATTTTTTTAAATATTAATGTCAAACTTTCTTTGTTTTTTTTTTCATAAATGTTTTACTTCTCAAACTTAGAAATTTCAAATTGTTTTTTTCCTAAAAAAAATTTAATATTTCAAATTTTCTTGCAAATGTTTGACTTTTCAAGCTCAGAAATTTACATGTTTTTTTTTTTTAGAAAATTTCTGAAATTAGTGTCGACATTTAGGGCTCTATATTTTTGGACCCATTATGCTGTTGTGGATTTTGATCATAGATCCAAGACTTCAGAAAATAAGTCATGGAGCCACAAATAGCCCTGGAGACCCACTTAGAACAAACTTCACTGCAAAAACGCAAAATCTTAAAGTATTTTTTTGTCTAGTTTCTATTGCAAATATCTTAGTTTGCTGGAACTAGTAGTACTCAATGCGCCGCTGCATGCGCCGCTGCATGCGCCTCTGCATGCGCCTCTGCATGCGCCTCTGCATGCGCCGCTGCATGCGCCTCTGCATGCGCCGCTGCATGCGCTTCTGCATGCGCCGCTGCATGCGCCGCTGCATGTGCCGCTGCATGCGCTCCACTAGACATTTTACTATCAGTGACTCAAATCCTGCCATGTTTACATTTCTGAAGCAGTTGCTTCGCACACGCCTGGTGAAATAAGATGATTGTTGCAGTTTTACAGTTAAAAATGGAGCCTTTAACTTGAGCGTGGGCACAATTATTTCCATTATTCCCCAAATCACGTGGCAAAAACACAAAATCTTAAAGTATTTTTGTCTAGTTTCAAGTGCAAGTATATTAATGCTCTTGAAATAAAAGAAAACTGATTTGTATGTAACTTTTCAGAAATAAAAATGAGCTTGTTTTAAGGAAAATATTCCTCAATATTGATGAAAAAGTTTTAGTTTTTACTGAAATAATCTACCAGTTGGAAAAAGCCAATGACTGATTCGAAGGAGTTGAATACAAATGCATGCCACACTTTTCAAATTTGTAAAAAAAAAAACAAAACAAATAAAAACCATAAATCGATTAATAATTCTCCGTTCATCTCTCAACAATGAGCTGCATTACGAATAAGATTTAATAGACTGAAGTTTGTGATTGTAATGTGAAAATGTTTCAGTGATTTTTAATACTTTTACTTATGAAATGTATCATGAACTGTATAAAAAATCAACATTTTGTATTTAAGATTAAAACATTTTTTTTCTGTGAAGTATACATGACCAATCGTTCATAAAGGACTAGCAGGTTATTTCACTCATAACTGGTTATATGTGACATAATCTGCCAAATATTCATAATTTTATCAATGTTAAGGGATTTTTTTATTCTAAAATTTTTTACATCTTTCTGAAAATGACTTGTAAGTTAGTTTTCTTATTTCAGGTGCACTTAGATATTTTTACTAGAAACTGGATTAGATTTTATGTTTTTGTAATGAAAGGGGCCTTAATAATAATTTGTAAATGAAAAATCGTGTATAATTTTTCTGTACTTCTAAATATTTGTGCTGATTTATCACAAAATCCCAGTAAAACCCTTTGAATAATTGGGTGTTAATGTGACAGGAATACTTTTATCTGTCTCTTATGTGACCCAAACTGCAGTGAAAGGAGCAGAAACTGCAGTAATGCAGAGAAAAGCAGCGTTTTCCTGACCTGCTGGTTTTATTGGTGAGCTCTCTTTGGGTTTGAAATCCTTCATGGCTTCCTAATGGTTCTGGTCGGCGTTTAAATGACTTTGACTCACCTGAGGTCCGACTCGGATATATTATCACCTTTTGTGATCATCTGCCCAGCGTAGACAGGAAGGGGAGTCCGGCCCTGTAATGCGCTGATCGTATATCATGCATGTCAGGTAATGAATAATAGATTGCAGCTGCAGGTTGTTTTGCTGTAGTAACGAGTGTTATTCTTTCTCCTCCTGAGTGTCGGCTTCCTTTAAAGGAACCTTTATTTGTTGTACTTTACAGATACATTTTCCCCAGTTGATTCCTACAGAAATAATTCAAATACAGAATTGAACAATTTGTGAAAGAGGTTTCCTGCAGATATCAGATTTTTGTTCTTGTCTTTGGATTCTTGATCTGGATCTGATGGCCAGAAAAAACTCAGAAATTTTGAGATTAATCTTGGAAATTTTCTAGAAAGAACTTGAAAATTTCTGAGTTTGAAGTCAAAAGATTTGTTGAAAAAAAAATGTTGCTTGATTTTATTATAACTTATCACATTATTAATATAAACTTAACAGATGAGCAAAGATTTTGCAAAACTGGACGATAATTAGTTTCTAACATCGGTGAATAAATAAGTGAATGTGAAAATGTTTGCTTTGTCGTTTAGTTTGTTTCTTTAAGAAATAAATTAATGGTCATCTTTCAACGTTTAATAAAATAATTTGTGCCGTTCACCTTGTGTGACAACATTTCAACCTCTCAAAAGGGAATAATTAAATTAAACTCTTTATTTCTGTTGTGGAAACAAGATTATAAAATTAATTGTTCACAATTTTTTATTTGTGGAGATTAGAGTCGACAGAAAAGGTAGACGCTGCTAATACTTAAGATCCGCTCTAAAACGGATCACATTCTGAATATACCTGAATGTGAATTAAAAGGTTTTTGCACTACTGCAGCATAATCGATTAACTGGAGTATACAAACTCAGAAAAAGGCTAATCAGTGGAAAAATACCATTGTTTGGACTGGTCAAAGTTTCGACTTTACATCCAGAAAGTGCATTCTTGTTGGTTGTGCAGGAAGCACCACTTCTGCTTTTCAAAGATGTATGGTTGTATAATTGCGCCTCTGTTTGCAGCNATTTTCACCTTCGAGTGTAAATGTTGAGTAGCAGCTTGTTTGGATTTAAAGTGACAAGACGCCATAAAACAAAACTAAAATCTCATTGTCTAAGAATGCAAAAAAATGTGATGTTTGGTTTCCCCCATCTTAAAATGTTAAAGGAAGCCTAAAAGGTCAGCTTTAAAGAAAAAAACAACAGATGTTAATCAGGCTTTTCCTCTGTTAAACTGAGTTTTAAAGCATGCACCTCGAACGGAGAGCTGCAGGTTTAATTGTTTCAAACTGAGGTGAGAAGAAGTTCCTGACAAACTCTTTGCTTCCTGATGTTCAGCTGTCAGAAAGAGGCGCCGAGCCGTCAGTCACAGAGAAACATCCACAAACTCACCGACTCTGATCGACAACATGGAAAACTATCAGCCTGTGGCTTCATTACCACAAACCTGCAGAGGATGAGACGGAAATTAAAGGCCGGTCGCTACAGGATAAATTAAAACAAGCTCAATAATGTCCATTAATTTATTGTTTTTATCTTTTTTACCAGAAACTGGACAGTAAAAGTCTTAAATCTGGTGTTTTAGTCTCAACTAGATGTTGTTTTTCTTTTGAAGGACAATTTCATTGTCTTCATAATTTATTTGTTGTTTCTGTTGTTTTATTTTTGATATTTAAATGTCTTCCAGTCTTGGTGTTATATGTTTGTTAGGATTTAAATGTATTGATTTTTGAGAATGTTACTGTTGATAATGGTCTCAAAACAACAATATTATTGTTTATTGCAGTAACTTCTGGGACATTTTATCGTCTTACTGTGAGAAGCTCAGGCTGAAGTCAGTCAGAAACTGAGCAGATTTTGAGAATATTTTGTGATATTTTTACTCTCACCAGGACAGACATGTTGGTTTAAATTCAGCGCTCGCTTTGTTTTCCAGCTCTCTCAATGTTTCAAAATGTTGCTGGATCTTATCGGCCTGTCTGAGCCGCTGTCATTACCAGCAGCTGAAAATGAACCGTGAATGTTTTCCCGAAGGCTCCCACTTGACAAAGCTCTCAATTGGCTTTAACAAGCTGTGCTGGCTGACCTAATACGAGCAGACAAAAGGCCAGGGGACAAAAAGAAAAAGTCCAAACTGAGTCTGTGCCCGTGTGTTTCTGCCCTGCAGTGCAGTATGTACTAAATTAAAGTTTGTAATTCTCTGTAGTGGCGTTCTGTTGCAGTATCTCGGTCTGCCAGGCCTGTCTGTAATTTCGTGTCTTTGTTTTGGGTTTGTGTGCGTCGCTGCAGACTGCTCGGTGTGCTCTGCTGCTGCTTGGACTCCTTCCTGCTGCTGGAGAGCCAGTACAACATCTGCTGCTCGCTGCTGCAGAGTCAGAGGGAAAACGTCGCTGACCAAGACGCCACAGACGGGTACGAAGCCAGAAACGCAGAGTTAGACGAAAACTCGGTTCACACAGAGCCGGGTCGGTTCATGTCGGTCGTTTAAATTCTGATTTATTTGCAAATGAGGCTTGAAAATCAAATCAAATTTTTTTAGACTCACTATAAGAGTTTTATTACAATAATACAATCATAATATTAGCAGAATAAAGATGCAGTTTTACCTGAAAAAGCATCTTTGAAGGGGCAGTATTATGTATTTTTCAGGCACACAGAATCATTTTGTAGCACAACTATCAAATATGACTTAACAGAAATTAGACTTAACGCCTGGAAATTGGGCCTCTGTCTCTTTAAGAAACTTCTGCTCTTTCTGAAACTCCACCTTCAGCAAGTCATCACAACCTGTTTTAACCTTTATCAATGTTTTTACCAGCGTTTCACTGAGCAGTAGCTCCTATAATCTCAGCTGATCTGCAGTTTCACCAGGTGTTTGCTAATTGCTGCTGGCTAGTCTGAAGGAGCCAAGCTGAGTTTGCCGCTATATTTTGTAATGTTTGTGGTGTGGACCCAGGAATAACAGTCTCTAATATGGTACATAAACAAGTAAAAAATGTATTTAGGGGCTTTTCAGACCAAAAATATTGGTAAAAATTAAAAATCTATTTTATTACAATGTTTTTTTTCTTTCTTTATGCACAAATCGATTTAAATTACGTAATTAAACACCAAAGTTAATAAAATATTAGTGCTACCCTTTAAAACAATGACGATACAATATTTAATTTCTAAAAGTTTGACTCCAAAGTTTTCTTGCTTCAACTGCTCGTTGAAATCTGGACATTTGTTGCATTGAAAACATCAAACTGACTTTCGGCTTTTCTAAAAGCCAACAATCAGAAATTTCAGTAAATTAGGCCCATTTTTATTCTCTTTGTGCATCATCTTGATTTGACAGAAAACTTTCACATCTAATAAAAAAATGCATGCTTCAGATGTCAGAATAATAAATAAAATGGAAGGAAGGATAAATAAAAGACCATTTCCCAGAGTGCTTCTCTGAGTTCGTCTAATGGAGACGCTGCTTTTGCTGCTGGTTACAAATGGAGACAGCCCTGAAGAGCCGCTCACGTCAGGTTTGAAAACTCGCTCAGCTTCACAGAATGACGGCCCGCTCATTTCCTCCTCTTTTTTATTTATTTTGAACTTTTTCTGTAATGGTTGGCATCAGCTTTTCTGTTTATTCTGTTTGTGTTTTCAGCTCAGTGTCATCCTGACTTTGTGTTTTGGTGTTTAACCTTTGAGTTAACCCATTTCCCTCCACATCCGCTCGTTTTGTCTCTGACCTTTTTAACATCGATGACACCAGAACTCACATCTAAGACATATTTTTACCAATAAAGCATAAGCATGCAACATTTTGGAGCAATCTGGCCTTTGGAGAGAGAAATGTAAAACAAAATAGTCTTTTAGATTAGTTTCTGGAGTCCAAATTGCTCCAGCTATAAGAACTATCCACACAGAATGATGTTTTTCAGCCCTTATAATTGGAAATGTTCTGACTTCAGCTGAGATTTAAACAGCCTGCCCTTTTGTTTTCAAACTGATATGGTTGCAGAAATTTCGTGGCTTCAGAAAGGCATTGCCAATAAAATGGAGGACAGGAATGAGTGGAAAGTTTTCATCGTGTTGATTTTGTCATCTATAAATACTGCTGTGTTTTTTAAGGGGATCTTTTATCAAAGATTCACATTTTCCATAGTTTGTTCTTCCATTTGGGTCTCAGCTGCTTCTAAAAACAGACCAAGTGCTTAAAAAAAACACCCAGATGTTTTTTGGCAGTAAGTTAAAGATCCGTTTCAAAAACCTTCCGAATGTAACAACACAAATCAGCAGGCAATGCCCCTCGCCTAGCAACCCCAGCAAAGCCCCAGGGCATTACCTAGCAACCACAGTGGAACTCCCCTTGTTACCTAGCAACCTAAGCTGAGCTCCAGCACATTTGGTCAGCTGGTTTTACCGCTGTACAATGGCTGCTGGAAAAGACAAGTGCTTTATTGTTGACTTAATGTTCAGAAACCACTTTCAGCATTCTTGTTGCTTGTGCAGGAGGCGGTACGTCTGCTTTTCAAAGATGTATGGTTGAATAATTGCATGTCTGTTTGCAGCCATTTTCATGTCTGAACGTAAACATTGAGCTGCGGGGCCAGAAACAGCTTGTTTAAGTAGTTATCTGCAGACATTTTGTTGTTGAGTGAGTGTTGTTATTCTGAAACATTGAATTTGTTTGCTTCTCTCTCTCTGCCTCTCAGGGCGATCATCATCGACGGCCTGTCAGTGGAGAGGAATCACATCTTGGTTCGTGTTCATGTGGTCGGAGGTCCGTCTGAGAGGCGGCTTCCCTCTCGAGCCCTGGAAGAGGTCAGCTTCCTGCATTTGGCCTGATTTCCAACGTTTGATTTTACATTTTTCCCATTTTATAAATGAAATGATCTTCCAGGTTTTCAACAATATTAGGAAATTATGTAAAACAAGCTGGAAAGTTCCTGGTTAGTTTTGTCATATCTACTGAGAGATTTGTACTAGAAACTGGGCCAAAATACTTGGTAATATTTTCTGTTTTTGCAGTGCACCGTTTTCCTCTGCGAAGTCTGCATTCAAGGTTTAATAGCGCAACGATTATTGATTATTTTAGCTATCGATTATTCTGTCAGTTATTCTGATGCTTTTGGCCCTGATGTTTTTAAAAACACTGAGAGAAGTTTCTGAAGGCCGTTGGTACATAAACTGTGAAAGCTTTCCGGTGAACAGGAGACCTTTTCCTTCCTCTTAATCCTTCCTTTCATTAATAATGATCAACAAAAGTGTTTCGTTTTTGATTCTCACATTGGAAGCATTATTAACCTTTCTCCGTGTTTCCGTCCTGCCCTTGTGCTGCTGCTGGTGCGAATGAAAAGAGCGAACTGATAACCAGGCGGCGCCGTCGTCCTTTGAAGCACGCAGCCTTATTTATTCAGCATGCTCCGGGATTGATATCAATTATTTAGGTGTTGTTTATGCTGAGCCCAAACAGGAACTCATTTATGCTGAGGTCAAGGAAATTATATATATAT